TATCCTTGCACTTTATCTATCAATCAAACTCTCTAAAGGACTAACAGTCAAATACAGAAATATAAGTTAACCTGAGATTCTGAAACAATACTTTAGAGATAACTTCAGTAGTCAGAGGTCCCCACATATCTAACCATCTCATGACATCTGTATCCATTTGAACAATACACACAATATTCAATAAAGAATGTTGACAATTTCAGTCAGAAGTTTTTAGTCAGAACAAAATTTACTAGAATTCAAAAGCAGAAGCAAAACTATCTTTACTTTTTTAAAAAACCCACACTACTATAGTTCAGTGAAACACTCCATTTAGAGTTCTACATACAGGAATCAATTATCAAGAATTGTTTATAATCTATTTTAGGAATTTCAAAGGAAAAAATCCTCAGTCTCAGTAATTTCTCATAAAATTTCCTTTCAAAAATTTTATGGTAAAAACAATACATATGTACTTTGCTACTTAGTGTCAGAACACTCAAAAGAACAAATATAAATATATGGCTAGGGTTACACATTTACATCCAATGCAGTAGCCTGGCCAAAAGGACTTTTTCATAATTTCATCATAGGTAATATATTAAAATTTTGACTACCTAAACATTTTGAAATAGCAGAATTATTTCAGTTTCACTTTGTGTGTGTTTGCGTGTAAGAAACAAGGTAAAATTTTTAAATGAATAAATACTTTCTAGAACATGCAGGTGAGACAGCACACATTCAGAACAATCTCTTATCCAGTCTACGTAGCCAGAAGCAGTGTTCTAACCTGAGTCATGCCTAGGGTATGGCATGGTATCTGAAAACATATATGTATAGGAAACACTGTCTGCAGCCATGATAACTACGATACATTTTTTTTCTCTATCCAGATATCATTGTCATTAATAAGAGAAAATTCATTTAAATACATTACTATATCTGGAGTGGCATTTTGACATTACACATCTTCTCAATCAACGTAGGACCACTATAATATATAAGTACCTGAGATTTTCAGAACTTAAAAAGGAGGCGTCATACTCCAAGAAATTAGAAATCACTGGTACAGCACAGAAACCCTGCCCCAGGAGTCAGGGGAAGTAGTTCGAGCTAGGCCACCACCTGTCCCAGGCCCTCAACCTCACAGGGAGTCTGTAAAATGAAAGCACCTGAATCTCTCTAAAAGGTCTTTTTGTTCCAAAATTTTTCCTCTCGAATGTTTTGACAATAATTTAGAAACTCAGTTAATGTCACAATTTTAGTTACCAAAACCAAAAAATACACTAATACACTTGGTCATTTTTTCTAAATTATTTACTTTGCATATATTCCCCGAATATAATTTATTACTATAACACAATTACTATTGCAGAAAGTTTGAAGACAGAGAAGAGAAAATATCACTCCTAATCCGTGATCTTATTTGCAGACAGTTTCCACAGCTATCGTCATAATGGGCACAACATTTATACACTGCTCTCTCTCATGTGTTCCACACTACAATGCGGTCTTCATCTTATCACTGTAAATAGTTCCTTACCACTCCACTGAGTGCATCTGTATATTTATGTGTATTTGTATGCATCTGCATAATGCAATATTAGAAGGATAAAATAGAAAATCACCACCACTGCTATTTTTATTAGGGGAGAAGTGATGGAGAGAGGGAGGTGACAGCAGGACTTCTCCTTTTGTATATTTTCTCATACTTTTTTTACATTTCATACATTTTGACCTACTACCTTTTTTAAAACTGAAATTTGATTTAAAAAATTTAAATGTAAGTGAAAGATGGTTGCTGATTCTAAATAATAGATTTAAATGGGAAGCCAGAAATCACAGTCCAACCTCCAATGCAAGTAGGGGTCACTTTAATAGTGCTTAATTATCTGTTTTTTCCAGCATATTAGAAAAAGGACACAAAAAAAATAAACCAAAGTCAAGAGCCAGAGATACTATCACTGAAGAGGAGTGTGAGACAATTCAGAGGAACAGCTTAACACATCCCAGCAGTCCCTAAAAAAAGCACCAGTGAATCACAGCACAGTTTAAAGGCGGATTAATCTCAGCAAACACATGCTGAGTCCCCATTATGTGCAGTTCTGATAACGTAAAAGACGATTTTCAAAGAAGAAAAAGAGAAGTTCCCCTTCTCAAGAAATTTGAGGTAAGACCACTTCATAAGCTTTAAGTTTTTGGCAAGAAACAAGGTGCCACTTGAATACAGATGTATGGAGAAGAGAAACCTTTGGTGGGGGGGGGCAGAAAGCAAAGAGGGAAAATGAGTAACTTTAAGGGGTTGGGGGAGTTAAGAGAATAATCAACAAATGAGTACACTGTTTTTGAGTATTACTAGTTCAGAATAGAAATTAAAGTTCTAATTATCTGAAAGACTGTATTTTTCAACAACAACCAATAAATGAGGCCTGATTAAAATTAAGATTTTTATAATAATATAGGCTATAAATTTAAATATTTTTTTTAACTACATAAAGAAATTTTATTTATCTGGATTTACACGTAAGAGTACATATTAATAAAACAGACCTACTAAACTGCCTGTTTCAAATATATGTAAGAAAAGAAAATCTTTCAGAGAAATTCAAAAGAATGGTTCCATCATATACATTCAGTTACTAAAATAAATGATTTGGCCCAATTCTTCTATAACTCAAACAGCGATTTTTTTTACAAAATAGAGTAACAAACCTTATGATTACCGTGATCATGCAAAAGTTTAAAAGCACATAGAGCAGGGGCCAGCCTGGTGGGTCGCTGGTTCGGAGCCCAGGTGCAAACCTACGCACTGCTTGTCAAGCCACAATGTGGCAGGCGTCCCACATATAAAGTAGAGGAAGATGGGCACAGATGTTAGCTCACGGCCAGTATTCCTCAGCAAAAAGAGGAGGATTGGCAGTGGATGTTAGCTGAGGGCTAATCTTCCTCAAAAAAAATTAAAAATAAAAAAGCATATAGAGCAAATAAAATAGATTTGATTAACCCTTGGAAAAAAGTATTCAAGAATAACTTGTTAATTTGGTAAAAAGCATCTGGTATATTACTTAATAAGTCCCCAAAAAGGCAACCTAGAAAAGCTAGCTGTAAACTGTGCTAAAGCATTAAAGTCGTTTTCAAAGAATATTAATAACGCAGAGATGCCAAACAATTGAGCAGCAAAAGAATATGTAAAATAAAAAGAATTCTATCAGTAATTATAGTGTCATAATTACAAAACCTACTACCAACAGAAAAACAATAATGCCGGTATGATCATTAACATTTATTTTTGAAGTGTTATTCTGCCTTCACAATATAACTATCACTCCTCAAAGATTCATAAAATTGGGCCTTCCTTAAAGGCCCCCAAACTGCTCCACGTCTTCCCAATACGAGGACTGAAGTGCAGTGACCTCACAACCATCAGTCATGGCATTAGATTCAGTCACCTGGACACATATTCACCTGGTCCTAAAGTCAGATACAAGAATCCTAATTCTCTCGATATAAGTTTTTCATATTGTTTAACAAAAAAAATAAAATACACGTAAAGCCCTTATAACAACTAGCAACAGCTATCATGCATGACGACCGCACTGTGTTGTACAGACCCTGTCACACGGAAGCCTCTGACAACCCCGCCAGGCAGACAGCGTCACTCACAGAAAGCAGAAGCCTGGACTGCGGGACACCGTCACCCAGGCAGCCAGGACAGGGACCCCACTCTCTGACCCCCAAACTGGAGTAAACCACCTAACCCTTTGAGGGACACTAAACACACCAAAAGGCAAAGATAACTCAGTTACACTGGGTGTTCCTAATAACGTAAATTCTGCAGTATTTTAAGGCGGAAGCCAGAGTACAAAGCTTGAAAACCTGAGCGCCCTTAAGAATGAAACCAAAGAACATTGGCCACAACTAAAACACCTCTAAAAACACTCTGTCTAGAAATAATCCCCCATGTCCTCAGCCTTGTTCCGAGTAAACTCTGAATGCTCAATAAATACTTGTTTCATGAATAAAATTCTGTACGTCATTGCCTCAAATGTTTGATTACCTCAAGGGGATTATCCCCTTCATATCTTTTTTTTTAAAGATTTTATCTTTTTCTCCCCAAAGCCCCCCAGTACACAGTTGTATATTGTTAGCTGTGGGTCCTTCTAGTTGTGGCATGTGGGATGCTGCCTCAGCGTGGTTTGATGAGCAGTGCCATGTCCACGCCCAGAATTTTAACCAAGGAAACACTGGGCCACCTGCAGCAGAGCACGCGAACTTAACCACTCAGCCACGGGGCCAGCCCCTCCCCTTCATATTTTTACTGAAAAAAAATTCATTTATGCTTCAGCCAACTTCTACCTTCATTTGCTTATCAAATTACAATGACTCTGCATGTTATCAGCATTTTTTTAATCATCTACATTTTTTACTAGTTGAAACAGATTCATTCAATCTCATGGCTCAGAATTACTTACAAATATGGAAAATGCAACACAACTTAATCTTTAGCTTTTGGTAATACAGTACAAACAGGAAAAAAAACATCTTATGCCGCTGTAGATACCAATTTAAAAATACAATCCGTGGACACACACTTAAGTGGGCACTACTACAAACACCAACCTTCAAACCAATGTCTATACTTAACACTTTGTACTGGGGCAGCTAGTCCTAGTCAATTACACTATCTTTTGAGCAACTAATAAACACAGAGCATATTGTTGTGGGTGGGAGATTCAATTTTTCCTTCCCAGCTGATCTTTCATAAATATTACTCATGTATTACAAACAAATATTTTAATGGCTCAAATTAATTTTTCAACTTCCACAACAATCCATGTGATGCAAAAGTTTCTTTCTAATACTAACAAAGCATTTTTTCTCTTGTAAAACAGTAAAAAACAGACCAAGAGGAACTGTTGGTAATGGAATTCAAACCACAAAAGATTTTATAATGGAAAATAGGCTATTGCTGACAAAAATTAAACTACAGCTTAATTTCACAATAAAATTTATTTACATACCAGCACAGAATATCCCTGGGACTTCACTCCTGACTATTATGGTCCGCACTTTCTTATCAGATTTTAGAGCATCCACAGCTTTTGAGAGCTAAACAGAAATAGGGAGAGTAAGGAGGGAAAATGGGAAAAATCATTTTCAGATTGATGTCAACATTGTATCTTAATAGTAGAAGCAAACAGTTTAATCTTTACACTCACCATTTTTATAAGATTTTTACTGAATGAATTTTTGGCATAAGCTCTGTTTATTCCAAGCACCACAATTCCTAGTTAAGAAAAAAAGCAGAAGCACTTGAGTTAGTGAGGTACTCAGGGGACAGACCCCCACACACATCGCTGTTAACTCGGGACTCAGAAAATCCACCACCTCCTTGAGGTTCACTCCAAGAGCTTTATCCTTATTTTCATTTTACCTTCCTTTTCAAGATAAGCATATTTTTAAAGAATGTGGTATTTATAACATATTTATAAAATCAATCTAGTGCCAGAAATCAGAAGATAAAAGATGAAAGAAATAGAACAGCAAACATTTTCTTATCTTACATCAAAGGAATCCAGAGACTATCTATAAAAATAATTACATAGGTAACACACATAAGACAGACAGAATAGAATTATCATTCCCAGCAAGGACTCAAGAGATGTTTAAAGTCTTTGCTTTTGAGGAAAGGGCCTGAAGGTGAAGGGGCGGCGCCCTCCACTACTGCCTTTTCCTTTGTAACTTCACCATAAGCATATACAATATCTTACTTCAGAAACTTTGCAAACTTCAGTAAGTTAACTGTTATTACTAACAAATCACATGTAAAACACAAAGTACTGAAAACCACTGACAGAAAGAATACTTTTGATAAACGATGTCTATAATTCAGACTCCTTAAAATGCTACGAGAGTAGTAAGAACCTACACTAAAAATATTCTGAAATGATCCAGAACTCCTTCACATGAACACAAGGAGAAATGCACAAGGACCACAGCGATTTTTATAAGAGCCAAATCTTAGAAAGAACTTGGAAATTCATTAACATATGATGACTATAAATCTAAAAACCCCAAAAGAATCAAATAAAAACTACCACCAAAAAAAGATCATACATGAAATTAACATATTCAGAAACAACAGTCTTCAAGTAAGGAAAAAAAGAGAAAGAAAGAAGACTACCACTTACAAGCTACACTGAGAAGAAATACCCATTTTTATGAACAACCAGGAGTCAGGGAAGCTGACATGGGGTACACCTAACATAAGCCTACTGATGGACACTCTCCTAAAAAAAGTAGAACTGAAAAAACTGAAACACATACCATGTTTTTATATCAGAAAAAACAGTATCATAAATATTTCCCTAATTTATAAATCCAACACAACCCCAATAAAAATATCAACAGGCCCTTTTTCTGGAACTCGACATGAAGATTCCAAAATTCGTGTGGAAAAATAACCATGTAGGAAGAGCCAAGAAAATAAAGAACAAAGAGCAAAGGTGAAGGAGGGAGTCCCTGGCCCCACCATATATTAAAACACAACCCAGAGCTTTACTCACAAAGTAATGCAGAGGCACAACATCTGTGGAGAGCATAAAGCAGAACACAAAACCCAGACGGAAATTCAGTTTATGATACAAATGGCCTTTCAAATCAGCTGGGATAAAGATGAATAAATGGTGTTGGGGGAACTGGAGTCCCATTTGGAAAAAGATAAAGGGTCCATATCTCACACTGCCATGATAATTCCTTTATTACTACATTGGTGATTCCAAAATGGTGATTTTCTATCATCCTACCATTCTTTACAAAACCAAGTTCTCTGGGCCAGCCCTGTGGCATAGCACGTAAGTTCAGTGCACTCTGCTTCAGCAGCCTGGGTTCACGCGTTTGGATCCCAGGGGCGGACCTACACCACTCGTCAGCCATGCTGTGGTGGCAATTCATATACAAAACAGAGGAAGACTGGCACAGATGTTGGCTCAGAGCTAATCTTATTCAAAAGAAAAAAAGAAAAGTTCTCTCCCCACTATTTTGAGTATCACTATGGCTTCATGGATTCTTTATTCAAGGTACTATAATCCTTTACCTTTTTGTTTTGTTTTGTTTTTGGTGAGGAAGATTGGCCCTGAGTTAACAACCATGCCCATCTTCCTCCATCTTGTATGTGGGATGCTGCCACAGCATGACTTAATGAGTGGTGTGTCAGTCCATGCCGGGAATCAAACCCACGAACCCCAGGCCACCAAAGCAGAGCATGCGGAACTTAACCACTACCTCACGGGGCCAGCCCCCATTTCTATTATTTTTAATGTTCGAATTATTCTACATGTGGCGAGTGGGTGCCCTTGTAAGTTTAAGTCCTTCTGACACGTTCCTTCTATAAGTGACATGTTTCTATGTCCTTCTGACAGGTTCCTTCTAGTATTTGACATGTTTCTGTCCTTCTGACATGTTCCTTCTATAAGTGACATGTTTCCATATCCTCCTGACATGTTCCTTTTAGTATTTGACATGTTTCTATATCCTCCTGACATGTTCCTTCTAGTGTCTGACATGTTTCTGTCCTTCTGACAGCTTCCTTTTAGTATTTGAGCACTTCCTTGCTTTCTGACCCACAAAGATATTCCAGGCTCCCCTTTCACTTTCCCTGCTCCAGATCTGAAATCAGCCATTTCTCCAAAGAACCCTGGCTTCCTTTAGTGGGGGAATAGTATTTAGAAACCAAGATGTGGTCATTAGATATATCCACTGCTACTGTGGCACCACTGCTTTTAGACTGTTTCCATGACACAGCTAGGGACTATACCTATGTACATGATAATATACTTAGGGTTTTTAGATTTATTGGAACTCATAAATTTGTCCTGACAACTCCAACTCAAATCCCACATAACAGGATTCTTCCTCATCTTTCCCAGCCCATATCTGTACTTTCCCTCTTCTACCATAATGAAAAGTCTGGCTCCCAACAACAACAATATATTTTTTCATTTGCTCTAAATATATTCACAATTATACATCCAACCACTGCTAACAAGAGACCTACTAAAAAAATTTCAAAGTTCTTTTTGACTTATAATTCTTAATTGATCTAAGTAACAATTTGTTCAAAATAATAGTAACAATGTACTGAGTGAGTGTAGCTTATGGAAAGGGAAATGAATGACAGCAATGTTATGAGGGAAGGGAGGGAAGAAATAGGAATACTCATTTATACTTTTACTGCCATGAAGTGACATAATGTCATTTGAAAGTGGACTTGGATCAGCGTAAATACATATTGCAAACACCAGGACAACAAATACAAACAAAAATTTTTAACCAGTATAACTGATGTGCTAAGAGAGGGAAGAAACTAGACAGAAAAAGAGTGGAAGATAAAAATAAAGAACAAGGGCAATGGATAGAAATTAGTTACAACTATGATACACAATAATCCAACTATTTCAATAATCACTTTAGGTATGAATGGTCTAAATACACTAATTAAAAGACACAGACTGTCAGAGTAGATATAAAACAAGACCCAACTATATATTGTGTACGAGAAATCCACTTTAGATATAAAGATGCAGACTGACTGGGGTCGGCCCAGTGGTGTAGTGGTTAAGTTTGCACACTCTGCTTCAGCAGCCCAGAGTTCACAGGCACAGACCTAGCACCACTCATCAAGCCATGCTGTGGTGGCGTCCCACATAAAATAGAGGAAGATGAGCACAGATGTTAGCTCGGGGACAACCTTCCTCAAGCAAAAAGAAGAAGACTGGCAACAGATGTTAGTTAGCTCAGGACCAATCTTCCTCACAAAAATTTAAAAAGACACAGACTGACTAAAAGTGAAGAGATGGATAAAGAAAACCATGGTAAGACTAATAAAAGAAAATGAGGAGTAGCTGTAACAATTTCAGAGAAAGCATAATTCAGAACAAGGAATAGGCTCAAGGATAAAAAGGGGCATTTCATAATTTTAAAAGGGTCATTTCTCCATAAAGTGTATGTGCCTAACAATACAGTATCAAATTACATGAGGTAAAAACTGATAGAATCACAAGAAGAAACAGACTATCTCACTAAGATAGTTGTATACTTCAACACACTTCTGTCAGTAACTGACAGACACAGCAGGCAGGGAATCAGTTAAGGGTATAGTTGAACTGAACACCACCATCAACCAACTAGATCTAATTGAATACAGAATACTTCATCCAACAACAACAGAATACAGATTCTTCCCAAGTTCATATAGAATATTCACCAAGATAAGGCTGCATTCTCAGCCAAAAACAAACCTTAACAAATTTAAAAGAATAGAAATCATATTGAAGTAAGCTCTTAGATCACAAAGGAAATAAACTAGAAATCAGTAACAGAAAGACAGCAGGAAAATCCCAAAATACGTGGAGATTAAAAAAGAGACTTCTAAATAACACAGGTAAACAAAGAAATCTCAAGAGAAATATAAAATATTTTTAACTAAATGAAAATGAAAATACAACTTATCAAAAACTTGTGGGATGCAGCAAAAGCAGTGCTTAGAGGAAATTTTACAGCATTGAATACACATATTAAGAAATATCTACAATTGAGAATCTAAGCTTCCACCTTAAGAAACCAGAAAAAAAAAAGAGCAAATTAAATCTAAAATAAGTTTTAAAAAGAGTAAAAATCAGCAGAAATCAACGAATTTGAAAACAGGAAATCAGAAGACGAAAATTAACCAAAGCAGAAGTTGATTCTTTAAGAACATCAGTAAACTGATAAGTCTCTAGCTAAGCTAACCACGAAAAAAAGAGAGAATACAAATTACTAAAATCAGAAATGAAAGCAGGGTCATCACCACTGAATCCCATTGATATCACAAGCATAATAAAGGAATATTGTAAACAACTCTATGCCCACAAATTTGATAACTTAGATGAAATGGACCATTTCCTTGAAAGACACAATCTACCAGAACTCACACAAGAAACAGATAAGCCAAATAGGCCTATGTCTATTACAGAAACTGAATCGATAATTAATAAGCTTCCAAAACAGAAAGCATCAGATGCAGACGGTTTCACAGGTGAATTCTACCAAAATATTCAAAGAAAAAAACGATATAATTTCTCTAAAATCTCTTCTAGAAAATAGAAGCAGAAGGAGCATTTCCTAGTTCATTCTATGAAGCCAGTATTACCCTAGTACCAAAACCAGACAAAGATATCACAAGAACAAAAAACTAAAGACCAGTATTGCTCATGAACACAGATGCAAAAATCCTCAACAAAATATTCA